GCAGCTCCTGCTACACCAGACATCGATCAACTCCCTTCCTGGAAGTTGCTTACTTGTCTATATGAATTGCCACAGGCTTTTGGTCTCCAGAACCACCTGTGGCCAACAAGCTCTGTCTTTGAATGATGGCCTCTGAAAAATGTTATGGATCTCTTGAGGAAACGGCAAGATTGGGTAGTGTTTGTCAGCACAGCTTTGCTGAAGGTCAAGAGCAGGGAGCTCACGACTGTTGCTTTTATGGAATCATAGAATCCCAGACTGGTTTGGGTTGGAAGGGACCTCACAGCTCATCCAGTCCCAACCCCCCTGCCATCAGCAGGGACACCTTCCACTACACCAGGTTGCTCAAAACCTCATCCAACCTGGCCTTCAACACTTCCAGGCAGGAGCAGCCACAGCTTCTCTGGGCACCCTGGGCTAGTGTCTCACCACCCTCTGGGTGAAAAATTTCCTCCCAATATCTCACCTAAATCTCTCCTCTCCAGGTTTAAAACCATCTCCCCTTGTCCTATCACTATCTGCCCATTTAAATCCTTCTGCAAGCCAGTCTCAGAGACATCACACCATGATCCTGCCTGTCCTAAAGCATCCCTGAAGGACCAAAGCATGACAGGTGACTCATTTTTCAGAGAATGACAAACAAGAAGCAGTCACAAGCTCAACTTTTTCCCCTACGGCAGCCTTTGATGGGATGGCATGGAAAGGTTTCAGGTCATACACATGTTAGTAGCAGCACTGTTGTCTCCAAAGGAGCTGAAAAAACTCATGGGAGAGCCCTGATAGTTGCCGCTATTGTAGTCTACCTTCAGATGTTCACCAGCACCGCTGTCATGAAGTTAACTCAATGAATCCCCACCCCTCTGATGGTGCAGTGGTTACAAGAACATGTCTTCCCCAAGCTTAGGCACTTATTTGGTGTAGGACAGGTGTGTTGGGGGCTGTGCTTTAAAATGGATATTCAAAATTATATGACGTAGAAAGTCACCCTCCAAAAGGCCTTATTTTTCTCCAAATCACACTGGCCACACAATTTGCAATGCAGCTGTATAAACAGTGGAGCTGAACAACCAAAGGGTCAGAGTGGTTGCATGAGGGAGTGGGAACAAACACTGCAAGGTGCAGGGACATAAACCAGCTCTGCCAGCAGAAGACCATGCCTCTTACTACTCCAGTCGCAGCCATCAATTGCCTTCATTTTCTGCTCCTTTTTTTTTTTCCAACCATGACAGCTACTTCATTGCATTAAGATAAAGTCATTGTCACCATTGAAGAGTGATAGAAAACCTGTGACTCAGGGTTCCCTGATATTCAATATACTTTGACAGGCACATTTGGTAGAATGTGTCCACGACAGAATCGTAGTGGTTGAGATCATCAAGTCCAACCATAAACCCAACACTGCCAATGCCACCTCTAACCCATGTCCCTGAGCACCTTGTCTGCGCATCTGTTAAATCCCACCAGGGAAGGTGACTCCACCACCTCCCTGGGAAGCCTGTTCCAATGCTTGACTGCCTTTTGGGTGAAGAAGTTTTTCGTAATAAACATCGACAGTATTAAGTTTAGAAATGATGACACCTCTATGTTTTAGCCAGTCCCAGTATCAAATATTGCTGGGTTCAGGAAATTTTTAAGGTGGGTGGTAGTTATACACCTGGTCCTTTGACTCTAGATATCTGGCATTGCCAAGAGTCATGAAGCTGATCCACTAATAACACAGAAAAACCTGTTTAGAGTTTCAGAGTTAAATCAGTAACAACAGTGGCATATGGTTGCTATGGCTATGTGTGTTCCATCTGGATTTCATATTACAATGGGGAAAAAAGATACAGAAAAATACATCATCTATCTTAAAAAATATTTTATTATTTGTCAAACTGAATGCACTGTTAGGTTTTCTTGAGGGGAGGCACAGAAAGATACAGACTAGAACAAAACTCTTATTTATAATTTTGATAGCTATGAGATCATCTCACCAGCCTTTCTGTCAGCTACTTGTCACATCTCCCTTCACTAGACACTTCATCAATTCTATACCTTGTGGCTGACCTATAGAACTGGTAGTCTAACCATCAGATGGATGCCTGGTGGGTGACAATAATTTCTCCATCTTCAGTGAAAGGTGTGTGACCAGCACCTCTCCATGCAGCCCATGACTTGATGTGTTATATACACAGAACTGTACAGTGACATGTATAAATAAGATCCTCAAAGGAATCCATGCATCCTCTGAGACAAGTGGCAAGACTCATCATTTAGGAGATCCAGGGGATAATCTAGGTAGCCAGATCTTGGGTCTTGTTATAAGGGAACTTGGTTGTCTGTGCCAATAAAGAAGGGTATGTCTACGTGTATGTTTAAGGGCATGCAAATGAAGGGCTGTATGTACATACATGAAGGTTATCTGCACGTCTGTGTGTCTGTCCATGTTTGCAGGCACATATTGGGATGCCAAAACAGATTCTAGCTGCATTATGTCCCTGAGTTGGAGAGCACATGAATAACAAAGGGAGAGATGAGAATAAGGTTTGACTCCCGGTGCCCAAGTACTCTACATCCACACAGTGCTTAGGAATGATAGAGATGGTGGCCAGCAGTGGTTGGGAAAGGAGCCCCCGTGGTGGCCGAGTGGTGAAAGTTACAGCCATCACCCGTCTTTGTGCCTGGATATTCCAGACTGCCAGGACAGCTGTGGTAAAAGTCTACTTTGTGCTGGGCAATGAAGCCCACTGTCTGCTGGACGCTGCAGGTGCCACCACCTTTGCCAAAGACTCCTCCATCCTCACTGGTCACGATGGTGTAAGGGTTCTGCCCTGCTCCGTAGTGCTGGCGAGGGGGAGGCACGGTTTGCATGTTGCCCGCTGCAGTGATCGGGTAGCCTTGGTGGAATTTGGGATGCACGTCCAGGTAAGTACTTGGCTGGAAGCCACCCTGAAAGGGAAAGACAGTGAGTCAGAACACATAGCTTCTCCACGGGTGTCCACAGGCCTGACATTTACTGGGCCCCTTCCCATTTCATGTTGTCTCTTGAACAGCAACAATGGCACGGGAGGGCAAGAAGAACCATATCCATCCCTGTAACTCAGGGGTGGATATACACTCGGATATATACATATATATGTAAAAAAAATATATTTAAATATGTATTTTTATAGATATTTTTATAGATATAAAAATATATACTATCTCTCTATCTATATATATATATAAGAAAAACAGCTTTACTCTGGAAGCATTTCAGTGGCATAGTCAACCCATTGCTGGGCTACCTACAGAACATCATAGGCAAGACACTTGAAGAGTCATGCCAAGGCAGTGACTCTGTGCTGAAGACACCAGAAGGTAGTTGTATGCTGACACTGGCATGTTTCATTTCCACCACTGTGGAGGGAATATATCCCAGGATTTATCTGCCCAGTTGGAAGGCCATGCCAAGCCACATGCCGTGTTCTTACTTGCGTGAGGCACTGAGCCCGTTCAGTCCACAGACTGTGCTTCTGGCACCTTTTCAGCTTCATCCTTCGGTTCTGGAACCAGGTCTTCACCTGGGTGGGGAAGGGAGAAAAGAGAAAACATCAGCAAAGGAGAGGGAAGAGCAAACGTTATGGGACTCACAAGCAGCAAGGAATGACCAGATGGCACAGATAGATGGGCAGCAGGAGACAAAGGCCTTGAAGAGCTCCCTGGGGTTGTTGCCAAGGGGAGGTGTCTGTCTGGCAGCCTCAGCAGGTGGCTGATGCATCTGCATGGCAGGGGGGAGGGAGCAGCATCACATCCAGGGGACAGTTATAGCTGTGACAAATTGTCTCATTTCAATCATGGAGATGAAGGACTGGTGGGAATTAGACCCACACAGGTCTCTACAAGTTCCCTGCTCTACAGACAAACTTCTGAGATACTGTTTCTGAGTGGAGAACAGAGAGGCTTGTTCCTTGTACCCAAGCAATTCCTAAATCCAAAGCTCCTTGCTGGGGTGAATTCCAGAGCCATTTCCCCCCAGGGCTGTGTCTGGCTGGGAGAGCAGCCTTTGCAGGGATGTGGATTGAAGGAAAAAGCAGATAATCCCATGGTCCTGTGAGGATGTGTGCAACTCCAATGCATATGTAACTCTTTTAGACCCAAGGCATCCTGGGGCATCCAGGACATCATACCCAGCTCTGCGATCCAAATCTCAGGTAAATTTTGGACTTGTAACTGCAAGAACTTGTGCCCTGTTGCCCAACCCTCTCTGCTTTAGGAATGCAGAGCCAGCACTAGTTCACTACATCCAAAATACCTGGAGACCAGCAGAGACACTGAAGGTTTGCAACGTATGAACCCAGCAGAACCCACATGGAGGTGGGAGCGGGTGTCAAGCAGTCAGGCAGTGCTGAGTATAGGATGTTATTAAGATACTGCACAAGAACAGCCCTGGGAAAGGTTAGCTTTAGCTTTCAGCATGTTCCAGCCCTGGGATTCAGAGAACTGATCCATGACAGGGTTTCCGTGAAGTTCACCATTGCCTGGAAAAAGTCTGTGAAGAGCTGTCAAGCCCAGAGCAGAGGCTGCTTGTGACAACCAATGTATTCATCACCGTGTTTGCAATTCTACTGCGAGTGTTGGCAATGGTACCCTTCACTGACCCCTCACTGGGGAGACCCCAACGAGGTGCCACTGACTCTCCTGTCCTCCAGAAGATCCTGATCTTACCCTCCTGATCTCTGGGTAAGAATAAGCGGGGGAGTAACTGTTAGCTAGCACCTTTGCCTCCACCCTCTTCTGGGGACTCATCTTTCCATCCTGTCACTGCCTCATGTGCAGCATTCAGTTGCTGTGTGACAGTTAAGTCTCCGTGTTCACCTGCTTGTAGGTGAGCCCCAGGACAGCAGCCAGTTCCCGGATCTGCTGGGGGCTGAGGTACTTCTGGCTTTGGAACCGCTGGTGCAGGGTTTGTAGCTGCTCCTTGGAGAAAGCCGTGCGGCTCTTGGCCTTCCTCACTCCTTCCATGCCATCTTCTCTGCCCTTCTGAGACTTATCCGTAGGCTGTGGGGACGAGGATGCTGAATGTGGACTGGAGGCTGAATCTGGTGTGAATTGGCTGAAATTCCCAGAACTGGATGAAGCTGGAGATACTTCTAGAAATAAAAAAAACAACAGGAAAAGGTATATGAGACATAATGCACAGCTGTATGGATATGAGCGCACGCCTGGCCTGCTGTAGAGCACCTGGCCTACCAGACAGGGGCTTTCTTGAAGCAAAGGCTTGTGTCACCCCACCTTCATGGTTCTGTGAGCACAGAAAAGCTTCACTGGCAGCAAGCAGCTTCCCAGGATGCCCTCGGCTCCCTTTCAGCAGGTGGAAAAGTCAGGGCAGCGAGGGAGAATGATGCACGTTGGCTCACAGTGTTACTGTCCTCCTCAAAAAGGCCCCACTAATATTTTGGTCTCAGTGTGGTGTAAAAGTGCCTAATCATGACTGCAAGCATAGCTTTGGGTTGGTGGTGAGACACTGGCCCAGGTTGCCCAGAGAAGCTGTGGCTGGTCCTCCCTGGAAGTGAAGGCCAGGTTGGATGAGGCTTTGAGCAACTTGGTCTAGTGGAAGGTGTCCCTGCTGATGGCAGGGGGGTTGGGACTGGATGAGCTTTCAGGTCCCTTCCAACCCAAACCAGTCTGTGATTCTATGACTGCGCTCTCCAAAACTGTCTGCCCAGTGATCTCCAGGCACTTGATAGAGGCAAAGCAACCTCTGACCAGGGTGTACGGTGGAGCAGAGCCATCCATTCCCAATGATGGGGCAGCAGGTGGAGAGCATCAGTCAGGCCTTGGACATTGGCTGATTCCTGTTTGCCTGTGGCTCCCACCAACAGATCATCCTGCTGCTGGAAACATGTGTCTAGATGGAGGGACCTATTTGGCTGAGAGGGGCTTCTGAGGAGAGGAGAAAGAAGGTGAGAAATTTGACATGGAAGTGGGGAGGGAGAGAGGAAAGGTGGATATATGGGACAGCTGAGAAGAGTCAGTAATCCTGTACCAGGGAGATGGGGAACAAAATTTGAGAGCACAAAGGAAGGTGTCCGAGTCCCTTCTCATGAGTCCTCTGTTGAGGACAAAGATGAGATAAAGATCTAAAGGAAAAACTTCCTAAACAATCCAGGCTACTAGTCCAGACAAAAGCTGCCAAGATGCAAAGTCAGGCAGGTGCCTGAATAGGAAAATGCTAACAAGGGAGATTATCCCAGCACCTTTCTGCCAGGTGCCTGGTTCCTGGGGTCTGTGAGAGGCTGAGACCTTCTCAGGCCAGCCGTGATGGAAGGGCTGTGGTGCCCCTTCCCCACACCTGCTGTGATAAATCCCTCCATCTCCTTCCTCCAGCTACTCCTCTGTGAATCCTTCTGCATGGTCCATCCCCTCTCCTCCTACTGATGTTTCAGGAGAGAGGGGGTGCAGTGAATGGGGCAGTGCCATTTTCAGTGCACACCTTCTGACTGCAGAGCCCAACCAATAGCTCCCAATCTCCTTCCTAGTCACCCTGGGAGCTGTGAGACTCTGAAGGCCACTGAGATACCCTCCTCAAACTCCCAAACATACGTCCAAGGCAAAGTACTGACGCCCTCCAGAGGAATGGGCTACTCTAACAAACCCTTCCTTCTTCTGTTCCAAGCTGAAAGGCTATGAGGCAATCACTCAAAAGCCTTGAGATGTTGCTGGGACTCAGAAGGGTGACCATGTCTGTGGTATCTTCTCCCTGACAGATGCACAAGCTGTCTTTGTGGTACCTGCCACTCTAGGGTTGCCTGCTCTTATAGACCTGCTCTTGGTTATTTCCTATCCCTAGATGATCACCACCCAGAGTGAGATGATCACCACCCAGAGCACAGGCTATGTGAAGAGGTAGGCAGATTTCTGGTGCTGGCAAGGAGGACCATGAGGATTACAAAGGGATTCCACCTACAAAGAGAAAGGAGCTGTCAACAGACTGTGCAGATTGCAGAGCCTGTGAGGAAGCTGAACATCTGCCACCTGGATGCACGAGAGGTTAAAATTTCATGTAGGATCACAGGGTGTTTGGCTCCTGTGGGCTGCGCAGTAAAAACCTTATAGGTCAGCAATGAGCACGCTGAGAATGTGGGCTTGGAAGTCAGGAAAGTCTTCTGTTAGACAGGAACCACAGCAAGACACCATAGAGCTAAAGCTCCCACGTGTTCCTGCTCAGCCTGTCATCCCAAACCCCATGGAGTTTATCAACTGCAGCTCAAGCTGAAGGCACAAGCCTCTCCCATGAGGAGAGAGTGAAGGAAAGAGGAAGCAGGAAACACAAACAGCAGTGCAACAGACCTAAACATGAAAACCTAAGATAGACCCACTCCCACAAACTCTTGACTTCTGTAGGCCTTTGCTTCCACCACTGCGCCCTCTCTGCAGAGGCAGGGGCTGAAGGAGAGTGCTTGAAGATGGGTTCTATCAAGTCTTTGTCCCAGGCCCACTGGGGACACAAATGAGTCCACCTTTGTGGAGCAGGCAGCAGAGACCCCAAGCTTTTCTCCAAACTACATGGCAAGTAGCCATGTGCCAAGTAGCCACGTGCCAAGTAGCCACTAGCCAACCACTCTGCCCAAGCCTGATGCTCTCCGTAGCATCTGACAGCTTGAAACAGACACTCCAAAAGCTCACTCTCTTCCCTCCCCTCCCACCCATTAACCTCATAGGTTGTTACCCACTGACCATGCAACGGGGCTGGGCAAAGCCCTGCTTTGCTGTCATCAGCTGTCCCATTGCCACTCACCGGAGTGGGAGAGGAATGGCAAGAAGAGAAAATGCCACCGCAGGGGGGCCTGGGACTTTTTTGCAAAGAGGGAAAGGGAAGGGAGCAAGAGGATGGAAAGGAGAGGGAAATAGAGAGGAAAATGGCAAAGTAAAAGAAGCAGAGAGTAACAGCATTGGATTTGTGGCCAGCATTGGATCAGGGCCACAAAGATGATGAGGGGCCTGG